TACAATTACGTAACAGATATGAATGAAACCTATTTACTCGTTAGGTATTATATTAAATACATTTCAACCTTTTCGGAGGCGGCGCAAAATTAAATAACATATTCAAAATAATCTTTTAATTTATAATAATCTTCTTTAATCAAATAAGGAGTAACTGTTCCACGTCTAATACAAATTTTAGAGTTTCTGTAATTAACCAAATATTGTTCTGTCAGTTTCGTTAGGATCTAGATCCATTGTAAATTGCGTTATTTTCTTGCATTATTAAATTGCATTATAAATTGCGTTATTTTCTTGCGTTGCGTATATCATTATAAAACCGCGTAATTGAAGTAGTTAGCTACCGTTCTGCGATTTGCGTCAACAACAAGTCTATTATACTCCAATTTGCTTATAGAATTTAGTCACATATACATTTTTATATTTACTAAAGTAATTGTTAATTATAACTCTTTTTCTCATCATTATTTGAATAAACCTAATTAATGAAAGGTATTAACCTGTAGATTTCACTCTTTAACCACACGCCACCACGATCCCACATTCTTTTAGAATTAGTTATAGTAAAAACGAGTCGCTTAATAAGCAAAAGCCACTCTTTGCTTCATAAGCGCTGTAAAATACCTGGTTCTAGTACCAGGGACGTTACACCTCCTGTTCATCTAATCGTAAGTCTTTCTAGTTTTGTGTTTATTTTGAACTATATTCATCTTGCATAACTTCATTTCTGCGTTCAATTATTAGGCAAAAATATAGTGTGATGATTTTGCTTAAGACAGAATATGAATAAACAATTTTATTTGTATATGTGTTGTCGGTTTACATTTCCTTATAATCTTAATTAACATACCATCACGTAAAGGATACAGATTATCAGAGTAACAACTTACGCTAAAGTTCCATTTTGTTTTCATCATGGTTGCGATCAGTTAAATACGTACATATATAGATGTAAACATTATCCTCTCACTGATAGAAACATCGTGAAATACGATATGCATGCCTTAACTGTCTTTTAAATACAACAGATTTGTCATTAACGTATTTTCAAACGTAACAGGTTTATCAGTGCTAGTATCAACACGTACTTTTCCAAAGTTCTCGATGTTCATGTCATACAATCCGCCGGCGCTCAGCATGCATGCTTTGCTGCATCTTATTGTCATCATGTAAAGTGACTTCTGATATTTTACCGGAATGTCGTACCAGTTCGAGCTGAATCTATTGTAACGTTTCGAAAAAAATAAAATTGTGCTAAATAAATTTTATTGACTTATTGTAGAATCGGAAAATACTATATCACGTTAAACGCTTACATTTTATCTGTCAGAGCTACAGCATGATTCAGTAAAATTTGTCCATTCAGGCTGAGAATGAATAAATGAAACTTTTCAGCGATAAGATACAGAAAAAATGTCATTGCGTCCATAGGTCGATCCATGTACAGAATTATCTGGAAAATAATTGTATAAAAATTGATACAAGACGTTCGCGAGTAAAATTTTTACCTGGACCGCGGTTAGACTGATGCCAATCATGTTCATTCCGGCCAGCATTAAATTCATAATCTGGCTACATTCTTCTAGGAAGTCAAAAACCTAAAAACATAAAACTGAATCGATAGAACGACGATTATGTTAATTATTCAGAATTATTAACATAATCGGAACTAACTCTAGAGCTTTATGATGAGTAATCACGCATTGCTTGAACATTTCATCTTCCATCTTTTTCTGTTTACATGCCATTTGAACCTGATATCTGTACAATGATGATTAAAGAATACTGTAATTAGAACGTAAATGTGTGGGGATTGACTTTATGTGGAGTATCACACGGATAAACAGGCACAACAACGCCAAGATTTAAGACTTGTAATTTCTTATTTTGAAAGTATAATCCGGGATGGAGGTAATTAAGGAATGATGCTTTGAAAAAATCCGAATGCGTCAAAATGAAAAAATTTGTATTCAAAGCACTTACCCACACACGTCAAACAGTCCGCTAGCATGATGAATGATGAGCATATACAAGGAATCTATAGTAACGATTACGAACACAGTCAGAGACCCGGCCCAAGACATATGAAGATAAATGGCAAAAAAGTGATCATCAACGTCAAAGAATATGTAATTGACTTGAAACAATTGTTGCCTTGGACGAGTTTCATTCAACGGCAAAATGATGTCCAATGTCGGAGGAATTAACGGAATGTAGTTAAAAGCTACTAAAAATGATAGCAAAGTCACTGAAAAGAATGGATATTAACTGAACAATCTCCACCGAACAATTATCATGAACATTATCATTATTCTTATTACGACGTGTTATATACTTCTGTACAAATAGGCAAGTTTGTCCCCCGTTGCAGTAACCTTATCCAACACGTGCAATTCATTTGTCAACGTTTCCCAGTCTTTTACGATCAAATCTAATAGTATTTTAAACTGCAATGCAATAGTACACTGTAGTAGACAAAGAAACCACCTTCAAGAAATGATATACACATATACGTACGCGGTCCTTGTGCAAAAAAATATTTCCGAATTTAATGACGCTTACAATGCCTACGAAAATGTGAGGTAGAACGTCGATTATTACAATGCCTACGAAAATGTGAGGTAGAACGTCGATTATTTCATCGATATCTTTTGCTTGGATTGCTACATATAACTCTAGAACCTGTGGAATTGTTGAACTCGATCACGTAACGACATTATTTTATTATTATTTATTATTAAATCTTTGATGGTAATACGCAATGTGCAGCAAAAGAAATCGAAAGGTAATTTTTCGCGCGCGATTTGAAACGCTAATTTATATTTGAATGATAGTATTTAAATATATATTTATGCTTAATTGGATAGGATCAGATTGGTACCAAAAAATACAGAACAATATAAATGTAAAAGGAATACATCGTCTGCATATATATCGATCCTTCACAGAATTCTAGTTCTCAAAAAGATAGGTTTTTTTTGCTACACACTGTGTACATGAACTGTTACAGTGAACTAAATATTTGTAGGTTTTAATTAATTTAGTCCAGCTGCAGTTGTAACAACCCTGGAACCTAAGTTCAGATAGTTACAAGCGCTAAAAGGTAAAGAGCGGCTTTTACGCCTAAACGACTCGATTTTACAAATAAAGATTGTGGGCTTCGTGTGGTGTGCGGTTAAGGAGTGAAATCCACAGGTCAATATCTTTCAACAATAGATTTATTCAATAAAACGATAAGAAATGAAACTAACAAATAACAATAACAACAAATAAAGAAAAGTATATAGATTATAAATGATTAATTAGAATAGAGAAACTAAATAGATAAATTGATAAATTAAACAATATGTAATAGATAATCGTGAATTTAACGATATAGAACTCGCTGGTTAATACTTTATATTGGACCGTATCTAATTCTAATCTCTGATAAAGTTAACTTCGCTTTTATACGTATTCGATTCTCGCATTTGAAGCTATCGCAATGACAAAAATTTATCTCAGTTGTACGATTGATTTGTATAAATGTTCTTTGACGATATTAATTAATATTAGCGCTTTATAATCTACCGCTGCGAGGAATTCGACCTAAGTGAGATTCTCTAAGCGCACCTAAATACGCTTTCGCAAAAATTAGACAGATATATCTACTATCTAGCGCGGTGTAATCGATTACGAAAATGACGCTAAGTGAGAACAGTACTCTTTTATTAATTCAAATTCTTAGCAATGAGATTAGAGAGTTGTAACTAGTTCGACTTCGAAGACTGTTCTGACCCGAGACGAGTTTCGCTCGTCCTTTTATACTCGCAGGTCCGCCGAATTCTTGGAATTTCTGTGACGTCAGAATATCTAAATTTTCACATAAATTTGTTATTATACATTAATTATAAATTTGAACGGTTTAATTATATTTTAAATATTGCTCTCTGATTTCTGACTAACAGGTCGGTATTAAAATAATAGTACAATGATGTTTTAGCGAAAAATGCATTTTCTGTCCTTTTCTGATTAACTACACCTTTTGTAATTAGCTACGCACGAGTTCTATGAGAGTCAAATCTATTCCGATTTACAATTTTCTTTTGTTGAAGGAGATAATTCTGGTTTCGGATATTAATAGTTCGGTATTAATTAATTTTACATATATATATATAAATTGATTTAGTTAATTTAATTAATTTAATATCTGATAACGTCGTAGATAGAAACAAGAGAGACAGGGAATAGTATCTCTGTCCTTTTCCTGGATCGACGCTGGTCTCAAGGATTTCGGCGAGTATCGCGGCGCATAAACACATTATAGCGTAACAGAAATTCTTATACAAACTATTTATTAGAAAAATATAATAAAATAACATATTATCTTGTTTTAATTATTCCAACTCAATATTCAATTATCGGTATGAAAATATTACCTATTCTAAATCAAAATCATAAGTTAATTAATATAAATGAAAATATATATATATATATATATATTGATTACCGACTGTCGAATTTGATAGATATGGTAGTAGATACCTAATGTACTGTCGATAATTGGCAACTACGGTCGATAATTGATTATTCTAATCGATGGATAGAAGATTGTCGCGATGATGCCGTTAAAAAGAAAAAAGGTTTCCCCAGGGACGTTACACAGTTTCAAGTATAATTCCATTAATAATTCAGTGTCGAATGATGTAAAATTGCAAAAATATACTTACCAATGGGATTATGCCCGAGATGAAGCTATAGAATACTACATTGAGCCTAATAGTACTTGCTCGAGTCGCACAATACGGATTTAGCCCCGTCGATGTTAAAAATATTTCAAGCGCCTTGTAGTGATGAAGAGCAAATACGTTCTTGGTCTGTCCTTGTTGATCCTGAAATGCTGCACATCCTCGTTTTAAATTCATTAGCACGCTAACACCTAAACGTTCAGTCACACCAAATACAACACACACAATGAAACATTAACACAAAACATACAGGGTGTCCGCGCCAAAGTGTTACACCTTAATATCTCATGAACTATTGATGTCACGAAAAAGTGCTTATATGGAAATTGCAGGGTAAAAGAGGCCCTATGTTTTGGCAGAAGCAAAATTTTTGTATTGTTATTAATGTAAAAGATATGATGGTGAAGTTTCGTTTTTTTAAATGGAACTATAATTTTTTCTCGATCAGGCGATAGTGCTTTTCAAGACGAATTCATCAAGGTTTTATGTACTTACCCGATTTTTATTAGTTTTCGAGATATAACGCTTAGAAATTTACTGATTTTCAGCAGTGACATCTCGGTTTGACGAGTAAGT